GATTATTGATGGGCTACAGCTGGATAGGGCGTGGTCTAGGGCTGGGGCTAAGCATTAGGGGGTAAGGATTAGAGATGGGCCATGGCTGAGGCTTTGGCTAGGTTGTCAGCTCCGGGAAAGTCTATGGGTTAGAGTTTGTGATTAGGAATGTTCTAAAGCTGTGTCTAGTCCTAGGGTGAGGGCTAGGGCTATAGTAGGGATTTGAGCTAGGGATCAAGTGTGGAAAACAGCTGGGTCTAGGGCTAGAGTGTAGGCTAGTGATTAGGTATGAAGTTTAGCTGGGGCTAGGGCTAGGATGTGGGTTCTGGATAGGGCAAGGTATTAGGGCTTGAAATCAGCGATGGGCTACAGGTGGTGTTAGTGCTAGGGTTTAAGCTAGATCTGGGGCTAGGAATTAAAGCTATTCATTAGTGATAGGCTACAGCTGAAGCTAGGGATAGGCCATGGTCTAGAGTTAGGGCTACTATGTGGGGTATGGGTAGGCTTAGGTCTAGGATGTGGGCTAGGGCTAGGGTTAGGCTAGGGTTTGGCTAGGCCAGATTAGGGGTAGGCTAAAACTGAGGGATTATCTAGGGCTAGGATTAGGTATTAGGGCTAGTGATTAGTGATAGGTTACAACTGGGGTCAGGGCTAAGGTGTGGGCTAGGGATTAGGGATGGGCTACAGCTAGGGCTAGGGCTTATAGGAGTAGAGCTAGGGATTAGTGTGATGGATGGGATCACGCCTATGATTTATCCTATAAGGGTATGTGTGAATCTTACTAAATGTAGAATATAAATGTCTTAACACAACAACTAAGGAAATGACATGAAGCCTATTTTAGCCTGTTAGATGAAAGTATTCCAAATTGTATATAGTAACAACCCACTGTACCCCATGATAGTATTAATGTACACAGCTATGACTTAAAAAAATTAAAAAAAAAAAGAATGGGCTGCAGTTCAGGCTAGGACTAGGGTGTGGGGTACAGCTAGGCAGAGGGTTTCAGCCTAGGGAATAGGGATGAGCTACAACTGGGCTTAGGTTTAGGTTCTTATCTATGGGAAGGTCTAGCATCAGATATATGGCTGAGGCTACAGATAGGATGTAGGCTAGTGATAAAGCTAGGAATTGGGACTAGGGATTAGGGATGGTCTACAGCTAGGGCTAGGTCTAGGTGTGGGCTAGTACTAGGGATATGGATTAGGGATGGGTTACAGCTGGGCCTAGGGCCAAGGTGTAGGCTAGGGATTAGGCTAAAGATCAGGAATGGGCTACAGCTGGGATCAGTGCTAGGGTATAGTCAAAGGCTAGGGGTTGGGTTTAGGTCTAGGTATTAGGGTTGGGCTACAACTGGGGCTAGGGCTAGGGTGTGTGCTAGGGCTAGGGCTAACAATTAGTGCTAGTTGATAGAGATGGGCTACAGCTGGGGCTAGGGCTAGGTTGTGGGTAGGACCAGGACTAAGTATTAGGGCTAGTGATTAGGGATGGACTACAGTTTGGGCTAGGGCTAGGGTATGCACTTGCCTAGGCCTAGGGATTAGAGCTAGGATTTACAATGGGCTACAACTGGGGTAAAGTTAGGGTGTGGGATAGGACTAAGGATTAAGTCTACAGATTAGGGGTGGACAAGCCATGGGGCTTTCTCTTGGCCCTTGTTAGTGTCAGTGCTGGCCTATTCCATCCCTGTTCCCCTTTCTGAAGGATGCTAGATTTCTCCAGTGTCTGAAAAGAATTGTGGCCATCCTGGAAACTTCTTTAGGATGCCCACTACACCAGCAAAGACTGAAGGGCTGGGAGAACTCTTTGCATTCTCTCTTCTCTTCTCAGTTATCTCCTGGTTCTAGGGCCACCTGCCTGTCTGCCCTGACTGGATTAACAGTAGCAGCTGTTGAGAGAATTCTTTGTACTGAGCGAGCCCGGCTTCCTGATGCTCGGAACTACTGAAATGTGGCATCCAGTGTGGCAGGCAGCACAGAGCTGCAGTGTGGCCTATAGGTCAATGGTGAGCTGCCATCCTAATTGGGATTGATTACATTTCTAGGGTTCACTGGCCACACATGGCAAATGGCCACCACAGGACTAATGTGATAGCCCACTGGACAGTGGAATTCTCATGCCATGGTGAAGCTCATGGTTTTTGCACTTTGCGAGGGGTCTGGGGCTTGAGGCAAGATGTCCAAATGTGCCTAGTGGAAGGGTTAGCCATGAGATGGGCTGCTGCTCCTTGAGGTGTGCAATAGCAGGATATTGGCCTAACTTAGGCTTCCCTTCAGGGCCTCAGGTCTTCCCTAGAGATCAAGTGCTCTCCTTGGCCAGTGCCCAGGCTCCTGACTCTGGCAGGTGTTCCTGTGTGGCTGAGAGCACAGGGGAAAGGGCCACCAGGAGGTCATTCTGCCAGTCTACAGTGAGTCTCAGTCCAGGAAGTCCACATGGGTGCAGCTGATCAGCTCCAAGAAGATCCCCCGGTGGGAATTCCTGGGAGTGAGGGTGTTCAGGTCCAAGACTGCCCACCGAGACTGGCTGCCTTTGAGTGGGGATAGTGGAAACCAGAGACCTGGCCTGGAGTGTGAACTCCCCCAAGGGGGCAGGTGATCAGGTGGCCCTGAGCACCATGTTCAGAGAAGAGTTGGGAAGGGGATGAAGTAGCATCAAGAGGCCCACTGTCCTCAGTGGTTTGGATCAAATGGAGCAGCCATCCAGTCTGGACTGGCAGTGTGGGTGATGGTTAGGAACACTGGCTCTGGAGATTCACAGACATGGCCTTCTGCCACCTGTCTCCATGGCCTAGGCTGTCACTTCACTTCTCTGAGCCTCCATTTCTTCATCTATAAAGTGGTGGGGAGAATGACACTCACTGTGCAGGTCATCATGGGGACTCACAGAGCTCAGTGGGAACTGTAGTCACTGTTATTTCTTCCCTTCCTCAATTGAGTTTCTGTGGAACTCTGTGGAGGTGCTAGGAAGAATTCTGGGAAGTATAGAGTGGCAGGTAGGAGGCAGGAAATGTTCAAGGCCAGCTCTTTCCTTGGCTAGAGTCAGGATCATGTGGAAAAGGTATCGTGTGCCTAAGTGCCCACCTATGCCTTGATGTAGTGCCATGCAGCACCACATGGGTAGGAGATTTGTTACCTGAATTTTACAGACGAGGAGACTGAGGCCCAGGAAACCCAGTCACATCTCCAGGGCCTCAGGGCCTCACATGGTGAGTTAGGGTAGCATTGAGGCCCTCACCCAACTCTACCTCATTCCTAGCACAAGGAGGCTTCTCCTCATTCTTGCTGAGGGTAGGAGTGCTGGTGATGGAAATGTTGCTCCTAGCCCCTCTCTACTCAGTACTTGAGATTGCAGGGGCCCCTGCTGCCTTCCAGCCAGTGAGAGCTGGATAGCTCTGCAGTCCTCACTTTGGATGTCCCTTCCAGAAAGCGTTCCATGACTGCCCAGCTGGGGCCTCCTTGGCATAGCCCTGGTGGTGACTTGTAATGCCACTTACCTTTGTCTTTCTGTGTTGGGCCCTCCATGAATCTGCAGTCTGAAGCACGACCTTGACCACTGCTTAATTCCAAGTTCAGCACCTGGTACAAAATACATACTCAATGAATATCTAGAATTTGTTAGCCAGTATTTATTGAGAGCCTCTCTGTGCCAGCCCCTGGTCTAGGCACCAGGAACTGGTAGTGAACAAAACAGACAAACCCCATCTTTTAGACTAGATGGTCAGGTACTAAACAAATGTGAATGACTCTATAACTTGGTCATAAGTACTATGGAAAATAAAGCCAGGAAGGGGGAGAAGATGTGCCAGGGGTAGAATCTGCAGTTTTAAGTTGGGTGACCAGGCACATTTGACCAAGTCATCTTGAAGAAATATAAGGGAAAGATGTGAAATGTAGTAGGCAAAAGCATTCTAGGCATAGGTAATGGCAGGTGCAAAGCCCTGGGGCAAGGAAGCAGGTTGGATGAGAGGTTGGAGGAGGCAGAGATAATGGGGTGGGGACAGTGGAGTTGCCATCACTGAGGTGAAGTTATTTGGAAATGTCTGTGAGATGTCCAGTGAGGTGTCAAGTGGACAGTGGGAAAGACATGTCTGGCACTCAGAGGAGAGATCTGGGCCAGGACACAGTCTGGGAGCAGCAGCAAGACAGGCGGAGAACACCAGGTCAGAGCTTGGGCAGAGGCAGAGCACAGTCAGGTGGCCACTGCTCTCCCCTCACTGAGTCAGGCACTGATTCATGACCCAGCCCCAGCCCACCTCTGTTCTGTGAACAGGTGCCAGAGTGTTTCATCCAGTGCTCAAGGTTGATAAATCCTCCTGCAAGGAGGTCGTCTTGCTGCCAGGTGTAAGTGCTGTTTGGTCTCCTTCCTCAGGTCTTGGTAGCCAGATGAGTGTGCCATTTGTTTCATAGCTTTTGTGCATCTGCTTGTGTGCCAGACCCTGGGGAGCCACTAATGACCCCAGGGTGACATGAGACAAGGTCTGCCATTCTGGAGGGCACAGGCCAGGTTTGATTCAGACTGGCATCTGCAGCAGGTGCGAGAAGCTCAGAGACTGAGAGGAGGTACCAGGGCTTGATGTAACATTCAGGGGAGGCTTTCTGGAAGAAGTGAGATCTAACTGGATACCCAAAGGATGAGGAGGCATCGGCAAGAAGGTGGGGAGGAGGGAGACAAACACTGTAGGTAAAAAGAACTTATGTCCCTGAAAATGTCCTGGACCAGAGTCTTCCTTAATGATCCAGGGGAAAATCCACAGCTTGGATCACTAGGAAACTGTAAATGTAAATTTTATGTGAAGCTCTTGTATATATTGGAAACCTAAATCTCTCTGTGCTTGTTCTAGGGTGATAAAATTAAGTATCTGAGGATTTTGAAAACTGTGTTAGAAAATCAAGCCAAAGAAAACTCTATTTGCCACCTTGCAGAGAAACTCACCTTCTTGCCCAGCCAGTCTCAAGGACTATTGAAGCTCCAGGAAAACCCTCATTTTTTGAAGAAGAAAACCCTTCAAAGACCCTGAAAGGGTTATGCTGTGAGCTTGTTCCCCAGAATGCAGGCCTACCCTTGATGCCCAGGGCATGTCATTGGCTATTGTTATGAGCCCATTGTAGAGAG